GGGTGCGAGGCGGAGGGTCGGCGGGACAAGCGGTGCTCTGGAGGAACTGGAGGAAATTCTCCTCAATGGAACCCTCCCGGCTGGGCAGGCGCAGGGCCTCCTCGGGGGGCTGCTTGAAAAAACACGTCAGGAGCCGGCCCAGCTCACCGCGGATCTGCCGGTTCAGGCACCCGTAGAAGAAAGGGTTGGAGGTGAAGCAGCAATAACCCAGCCAGGTGACAACGGTCTCAGCCGCCGGCCCCGCCAAGGGCTGGGTGCTCAGGGCGGTGTAGAGGTGGAAGGAGAAATAGGGCAACCAACAGAAGAGGAATTGGCCACCGACGGCTAGCAAGATGGCAGCTGCTTTGCCCCCTCCGAACGTCCTCTGCGGGGTGGTCCGAGGAGCCCCTGAGGTGGTGACCATGGTGGAACGGCTGCTGAGCGACTCAGAACGTCGTCGCGGGGTCTCCATCCAGGTGGGGAGGGGACCGTGGTGCATGGCGGCCACGCGGGCTACCTTGAACATGCTGCAGTAGACCACCACGATGATGAGGAGGGGCAGGAGGAAGTAAAAAGCGGCGAAGAAAACCACAAAGAACTTGCAGTAGGGACCGCGGCTCCATTGCAAGGAGCAACCGCGGCCGGTGGGCACCGGCGGGGGGGGTGGGGACAACCAGCCCAGGACGGGGACGAGGGAGGTGGCCACGGCTTTGAGCCAAACGCCGACAAGGACGCAGGCCACCAAGCCCACGGTCATCCTCACCTCGTAGCGCATGGGGTGCACCACGTAGTAGTAACGCTCCACGTTGATGGTGGAGATGGAGAGGATGCACATGCTGATGAAACAAACGCTGAGGAACAAATAAACGCGACACGGGGCCTCGCCGAAAAGCGGGCGGTCGAAAACGGCCGAGCCGGAAAGCATCTCCAACGGCATCAGCGTGAGGGCGGCCAAAAAATCCACCAGGCAGAGGTGGAAGACGAAGACGAACTTGCGCAACGCTGGCGTCTTCACGATGACCGTCATGACGGCGGCGTTGCCCACGATGGCCGTCAGGTCGAGGAGCAGCATGAAGAACAG